TCCAAAAGCCTAAGCATGTTCCCCTCTTGCAAAAAATTATTTATATGTTGTAATAAAAAACATTGTACCTCATCTAGCCTATTGAAAAACCTTGTTACGCCAAGAATAGCCCAATTCTTTTGACTCTTTAAGAACCTTGTGATGTGTCAGCTTAAATCTGAGCGTAAAGAACCCAGAATTAAGGAAATGGCCGCTCTGATAATGATTTTGTTGCTTTGACCTTCTCTCCAAGCTACAGCAAACATTTTGCGACCAATTTTCAAAGTCAAAGACATCTTGCTTCCTCCGAGGATCCGGTAGCTTTTGAGAAAGTTTCGCTTTATCTTACGACAGCTTTTGATTATAATTACGCAATAAAAACCATGCCGCAGAAAAGGAAGACTCACTAAAGTCTAAACTGTATGTCAAAATCATACATATAGAGTCTCTCCTAATGAGAACCTTTGAGAGATTTCTACTCTTCTTGCTGCCTCAGTATTGAACTTATTTTTACTTCTGTATAAATGAACATTACTTGACCTTGAACTTCATTTCTCTATCGAACTTAATCATCCAAAGCGCGTCCGGTATCATGACTTTAAAAGGGACACTCTACCGAACTAAGCTCTAGGCGGAATTTGAGTCGTCATGTCTCCTTGTACCGTTTGAGCTTAAATTATCCTGTCAAATCAAAAAATGCAGAAGCTTGTTAGCGAATATTGGCATAAGAGATAGAAAAAATGAAATAATTATGCCATTTAAGATTCAGGTCCATGCAGCTTTTTTGGCAGTCGGAATTTCTAACTGTTGCTTCGACTTGGGTACACCTCGTTTGGGAAACAGTCAATGCTTTTACCAATTCTAATTTTCACGAAAAATGGGATGTGATACCTGAAGATTTTGTTTCGTGCAAGGTAATCGTGCTCCGACATAGTGAAAATGGCTGGAATGCTCATGAAACCAAGCCTTAACCATCGTACAAAAACCACTGTGATAGAGGCAACCTCTGACGCTACATTAGTTCATCACACAGAAGCTTTCTTCTGTGTGACAACAAAATTATTAACTTGCATGAAGAACGTCCTATTTGCATGTTCTTTTTGAACCGTTGTTTGATACCTCTTATAATTAATTGGAAGAAAGTTAATGGATGCAGATCCATCATTTAATTTAATCAGATCACTTATGTTCTAATTTGGACAGGCTCGAGATAGCTGTCCTGATACAAAAGAGCCAAGCAAATGTTAAAAATGCTTCCGTTATTTTTAATATTTGCATAGGGAAATAACTTTATATGGAACAATTTGTTGGGGATTCACATAGTTCATTTGTCCTCTCAAGCCGGCCTCATAAATGTTCCTGACTGGGGTGCAAATTAGCCTAAAGTCAAATAATTTTAGAGCTTTGTTCTATTTTAGCGTGATAAATGAATATGACGAAATATTCAAATTTAGTTTGTCGAAAGAGGCTGGAAAGTTCTTCTTCGTCTATATTTTAATTGGTTAAATACATCTGAAAATTGATAGACATCACTGGGCTTCATAGCTATTTCCTTAAAATGAACTTTCATCACACGATATAAAGACCGGAGGTATAAAACTTTACTCAAATTTGATTAACCTCTTCTCTGAAGCTAAGTTAAATATATCTCTATAAATCATGTTCGTATTTATAAAAAAGTTTTTGATCTTACGCATTTGATAAATTTTTAAAGAAGCTGAATTTCCCCGTTTTAGCTGATGCAAATACTCTCCTCCAACAGCGAAGCAACCAGCCAATTAATCATAGTTATCATAAGAAATACAGAAAAAGACGTGCTTTCACAAAGGATTAGCTCGATTAATCCTCAGTATACTCACCCTTTCGTCCGACCATGAGATAAAATTGCTCTGTGAGGTTGGATCCTAAGCCAGCCGCTTGACACTTGTATACACCAGCGTCACCCTTAGTCACACTGTCCCAGCTTATGGTTACTTGCGAGCGTATGGGTGCGTACGAGGGGCCTCCAGCAGCCTGTATGGTCGGAAGAGCTTCCCGAAAGACGGTGTAGAGGCTGCCCTCTTTACCGTCGGGTACCTCCCATGTATGCACAGGGGCTCCACCTCTGTAAGACGCGATTCGACAAACCATACTGACAGATTCCCCCTCCTCGGCCTGGACTACACGGCCTTTAGTTTCCATCACCAGACCTAATCACAACAAAAAGAGCAGCCTTTAATGAGAATATTAGTAGGAACAATTTTAAATAATTCCTATAAATGTGAAAGTTGATATCTCTCACGCCTAGCGTTAAGGAAATTTTAAAACAAAGTAAAAATCGCTTTTTCCAACCATGCTAATCTTCTTACCCATAGCTATCTATTATTCAAGCAAAGAATTTAAAATGCAAACATTTTCATATTCATTCTTATTTGAAAGTAAAAATAGGTCAAGGCTCGTGGGAAGATGGACATTTATAGTCTATAAACTAGTTCGGCGTTAAAGCGACTTAAATTTATATTGTATTAGATATTACTCATTATTGACTAGTAATAAAGTTTATTCTATTAACAAAAGTCAATAAGCCCTATTTCTCTGGATTTTGATAAAGTGACTGTGTTTATTCATCCCTACTTGGCACGAGCAGATTAGCCTCGAATCATTTTGAATTTGCTGAATCAATTTCAATATAAATAAAGTATAAAGTGAATAATTCCTCTTATTTATTTATGGTTACCTCGATGTTAGGATTGAAAATAACAAAGTGGCCTCCAGAAAATATCTAATTTTACTAACTTTGACACATCTTAGAGGTCCCTTTTATATTTGTGTTGTTGCATTTTGTATTGCAAACTCATACAGCACATATTCTTTAAAATAGCTTTGTATCAAATTGCTTAACATTTAGTCAGTACTCATGGAGGGGATACTTATGTAAGCAGTGCTGTAAAATCAAAAAAAGGCTTCTATAAAATGAATATTTACATCAGCCAAAAGGTTTTGGTGGCTGTTAAACTTTAAATTGTCTATTTGGACTTATTTGATAAGTTGGAATGTCATTGCCTCTATCCATATCCACAGAAGATTTGTTGCTTTAATTTTGAAGTTGAGTGAAATTTTTTGTCTCATCACCTCTGCTAATAGCTTAGTTTAAAAAGTTAATGTTTTTAAAAATGCTCTGAAACTTACTAAAGAGTCTTTTTGTTTTATTGTTAGCCCAATGTTGTATGATAAAAAAATTAGTCATTTTGTCACAATTACTGTCACCCTCTGACACCAGTTACAATAATATTAATTAATTTTGTGGTACTTTCTCGACTTCATAAAATGGAAACACAAATGAAGAGTTACCTTCTAACAACTGCATAGTTAATATTTTTTATCGTTTTGTCAAATGAGGCTAAAGCCCAAATTCAACCTAGTCCGACAAACAAAGCCTACTACTAGTCGAGATAATACTTTCCTCATGATGTTGTCAAAAAGACTTCGATATCATCAGATGAGATGGTTGCTAAACAACTTTAGAATTTCACAGTGTGCTAATATCTCAAATGTAGATTAAAAAACAAAAAAATTGCTTAATGCTTCTTTTTTCATTAAAATAACCGCCGACTGATCCCTAGGCATTTTGCAGGCGCTTGAATTAATATCTTCTGTCATTACTTTAGTGTTGACACCGGGTCACCTTTTAATTATTGGTGATTTTCCCAAATTATAGTACAGACTGTAAGGGGAGCTTAACGGGGTCTGCATTCAATGTCCAAAAATAAAGATAGAGAGATTGATACAGACAATTTTACTTACCTTTTTGGCATGTTTCGTATGCCCTCTGAGTTACGAAGTCGTACTTGAATTCACCCTTCTTGCACCTGTTGCAAGTTAAAATATTCACAATTAAATGAGTATGCATTTAAAGTATGCGATTTTTGCAGAAAAGTATGCTGTAAATTACTATGTAATCAGATAATAAATGCACTGAATGTGTAAGTTTTATGAGTTAGCACAAGCTTTGGATTAGAAAAAATAATGGCTTAACTCAACCTGATAACTTGAGTAGGCATAGGTCGATTTAGGTGATAGAAGGCCTAAGATTTGGGTGTAGAACAATAAAAGAAGTTGAAAACCTACCAGGTAGCTGAATTTTACTTAATACAACAATACAACATCACCTCTTTAGCGTATAGCCACGCTTCTCATTGAGTCACAGAGCAGATGCAACTTCAACGCTAACTAGGCCTATCCAGAATCGCATGCATAGTGGGGTGGGTGCAAATGATACAAAATTAGACTTGCCATAAAACGAAATGATATCAGTTAGGCAATGAGAGTATAATTTGCAACTATCAAAGTATGCTTACTAGGGACTTTAGTCTCATTTTCCTGAGAATTAACTGATATGAATAGGGAATGATATTTTGTAATAAAGAAAGACAAGTTTTATTCCTCTATATGTCCGAAGAAACAAATCCACATGATGGATTTTGAATTGGCTTTGGGTGTAGGAACAGGTGGGGCTTTGATTTGATATTAAGATATTTAAAAAAAAGCATTTATTAATTTTTTATTATAGGAAACTTAAGCCAATAGGACATTTCACTTCCGAATAAAGATCAAGTCCCATTTGAAGCCTCATCCTGCCTGTACTTGTACTCTGGAACAGCTGTTATTAGGTCTTCCCTTTAACTTGTTTATATGGATTTCGCATCTTTTAAATGAATAATTTTAGTCTAGAACAAACTTTCCAGGGCAAACTTACTCAGGACAAGTTGATCCAAAGCAGCCTACACATTCATGGTCCTCTCCAAATGGCTCCAGCCGGATTTCGGTACGCTTAGTTGGATCAGTGCAACCCTGAAATAGAAAGAGATTCGCACTATAAAGTAAACGAGGATGCTCTTTAAAAAAAGTAACTACTTTATAATTTATGTGACCTTGAGGGAGATTGGTAGAGAAAAATAATTCTAGCGATTTATTTCCCAACCAACTATGGGTGCACAAAATGGCGAAAACAATAAGGTGGAAGAGGGACATATCTGATTAGGCGCTGAGATTTTATGGACAGGAAATAAGCGAATAAATGGTGATGATTTAGAGAGCTTGTCAGACACTGAGGAAAACGAGTAAAAAGTACTCTATACTGCATGCTATGAAGGAATATCGTATAGATACATCCATCTGTGTGATATACGGAGTCGAAGAAGATGTGGAAAAATACTTTAAATGCTAGATAGTATATGAACAGAGGCCTGCCCTAAAGTCGAGCTCCTTTGAAATATTATGCACAGGCTGTACATTCCGAACAAAAGCAATAGTAACATGTTATCGCATGTAAATATATTGAAGATATTTGTTATAACAATAGCGGATTATGAAAAATGCATACCTCACAGCTAAGGGAGAAGTCGCGGGTGCTTTCTCCAGGAAGTTGACAGTCACAAACTTCAACTGGAGCCGATGGAAGTTTGCCTTCTTTGACGATGGATTTCATCTCATCAGTCCTAGCCCGCTTTGCCACCTTTAGACAAGTTAAGCAATAAAAAAAAATTAGTACATTTACTTAGTGAAGAAATAAATAACTTGATAAGATTTATAGTCCTTTTGATTGAGAGGCCCCTTGGAAAAAATTATCGGAATATGCTAGCAATCCACCTCAATAGTTATAGTCAAATGTGCAATTTTTCCGAATTTTGTCAACAGAATTAGTAACAGAATACTGTTTCATACAGCTTAACACACCTGTATCAAAAAACTTTGATGAGTTAAAAAAACTAATTTACCCTCCATCATCTTCAGATTTTAAATGGCACCACGATGGGCGTACAATTCCACCTTTTTTAATCGCAGGTATGAAGACCAAGATTGTGTGGCCTGTTGTGTGGTCGCAGTCTCCTTTCGTTGTATAGAAGTTGTTTGTCCTTGTTTTCGCAACTTGGTCATATTGGTACGAAGACTTAGATGAACGCATTTTGTCCGGAGTCCATTGTATGCATCATCATTTCGAGAGCAGGACCGTGGACGTGGTACATTCCCAGACGTTTCACCGACATCGTAGTCGGCATCGTCAATGAGTATCGCCATTCGTAGCACCATATTGGACGAGTTTTAATATGGTGCTACAAATGGCGAGACTCACTGACGATGCCGACTACGATGCCGGCGAAGCGTTTGGGAATGTACCACGTCAATGGTCCTAGTCTGGAAAAGATGATGCATACAATGGACTCCGAAAAAGGTGCGTTCCTCTAAGACTTCCTACCAATATGACTGAATTGCGAAAACAAGGTCAAACAACTTCTCCACCTTTTTTGTTGCCACAACACTACCATACATTAATCTGGCTCTTAGCCTGGTCACACTCTCGACCAAAACACACGATACAACGTGTGAAAAAACTGGGTTTCAAAGAATCCCTTAATAACACGACACGATGATCTGACTTCGTCATATAACTATTTATACATTTTACCATACCGGACTGTATCGGTACACAATAATAAATAAAAAATAATCATTTATTCCTGGCATGGCAGTCATTATTACGTCACAATGCGAACTTTATAAATGCTTCACCAAGTTTGTTAAATAAGCGTTTGATTCACCCTAGGTCGCATAAGGTGATGCGGTACCGATGGTCGATTGTTTTATAATAATATACGTGGGCCTCCCGCTTCCCAGTTATTCGTCACTGGAACCATTATTTAGGATTGTCTGACAGTTTCGAAACCTACTTTACCCGCCTACAAGATTTTTAATGTTAAAAATGAAAAACCTCTATTTCTACTCTGGAGACCTTGGATGAGTAACAAATACTTTTGTCAACTAAGCCAGAAATATTTAACTGATTGTTGAGCTCTTGCCTGAAAATTAAGCCGGGCTCCCGACTAAATCCTTCAAAACTCAACTGCATGAATGGAAAGAAATAAGTTCAATTTATAATCCAATGGGATACCTTGAGTCATAATGTTGCTAAGCCTTCAACCAAATCAGGCCTAAGATTAAGTATGCTGATAGGCCAGCAATTGTCGAAATGACACTAAGTTGAAATAAAGCTGTTTCACCTATGTTAACCAGAAGAAATTAACAGAGTAAAGTAATTCATATTAGAGTAGGGTTTCGAGACTACCAGTAAATCAGTGTATTTATGCTCTGATGTGTGGTCGGATTTTGAAAGAGTTCAGCCAGGACAAGAAATGGCGTAGGTCTGTTCAACAATCCTGCTTTGGATTCTTAAAAAAACTTTTTAGACGTTATTTATTGATGGTATTATTTAAGTAATATAAAATGTATTCACCCTATTTCGTCTAAGGTGATGAAGGACTGGTAGTAGAATTTTCCCACAATGATATGAGTTGAGCTGACGTTTCACTTGAATTTCAT